TTTCCTGAAAGGAAGTACTAAGTTTATGATGCATTAGGCAATCATCACTACACGTATCTGTTCTTTAGGAAGTGGGAACTGGGCATGCAGTCAGCACACATTTACCAAGCAACTAATAAGCATCTGACACTTGCCACACACACTTGACAACTTCAGCATTCTCTTTTCAAACTCATGTCCCAGCTACTTTTGATTCATAGGGACTGAAATGTAATAAGGAAGGCAGCCTTAGCCCTGTCGTGCAACCAGTTCATTCTGGCTTTGGATAAGTGAGACGTAGATATGTCTGCCTCCTCCCCTGGCAGGCTCCATTTAGTCAGGGCTTTGGCTCTTGGAAACTAATGCAAGGTTTCAATAGCTGAGGTGTAGTTCTGAGGGTCATTTATTCCACAGGTCACTAACTTGTGTCCAGAATACTTAGTCCAGTTGATTATGCTCAGAAAATATTTCCCAAAGCCTTCAAATTTACCTTAAATACCTTTGAGACCAACTCAGTCCTGAAAACACCTACAAAGTCCTAAATGAAAACAGATTACTGAAACCCTAACTCTACCATTAAATTCTACTAGAAGGTTGATCAGAATAGGCCTGTTTCTTCTTGCTACAACCAGCCCGAATGAGTGGCTTGCTTGGTTACACTTTCTGATCTCTATTCCCACCAATGTACTTACTTTTACCTCTCATCCTTAACTAATTCACTCCTGTAACCATGCATATGAGTTAATTCACATGGTTCCAGATTCCATTCACTCATGCTGTATATGAACACCCTGTACTGAAGGGGGTATCTTGCTATTTACACACAAGGCCTGGGTTCTTCTGCCTGTGTTTCTTAGAGTTCCTGTACTGTGCCTTACACAGCTTGACAATCAGAAACTTGTAAATGATTTCTGAAGAAAATGTAATTAATGTATACCAGAATGGGCCTGCATTACTAGGCCTGCCTCAGAAATGTTCCTGCAGGGATAGGCCCTTTGCTCCTATTTCTATATTCCCAATACTAGGCATGCAGTTTAGGAAAGAAAACATGATCATGTATCTTTGTAGTAGGCCCAGGTCTGCTAATAACTAGGTGCATGCCTTTGAGTCACTTTTTATTTGTATTCTGAGCCATGGTTTTATTGTCTGTAAAATAAGTGGATTGATTTAGGCTTCAATTCCATTAGAGTAGAGACCAGTATCTAGTTTATGGTCCCCAGTACCTAGACTAATATGTGGTACACAATGTTTGCGGAGTGAATAACAGTAGACATAAACAAATTAAGATAGTTTTAATAACCCCCTTGGTCCTAACATTCTTCGACACAATGGCATCCATTCCTCTGTAAGTGCGTGCTCAGATCCTATCCAACCATGTCTCCACATGCTGAGGTTAATATTGCTAACCTCTGTGCCTCGGCACTTTATGTTATAAAAAGTGACCTGTTTACTATAACCTACTTCACTAACAATCAGTAGATGTTTTCAGAATAACCACAGGTACTATATTAAGGTGCAGTAAACCACATCCTGATGTTCAGATTTGGGAAAAGAATTCTGGAATCCACAATCTGGCTTTTGAGGATTCATAAAACTCCTGAAATAGTACCAAAGTTTTGTGTGTTTGAGACTATGTGCGTTTTCCTGGGAAGTGAAACTGCAGCAATCATATCTTAGGAAAAAAAGGATTAAGAGCCACAAGAAACCTGTCCTCATTTGCAAGAATTTGCCCAGGGCTCTTTATGTGCAAAAAAACACGGCACCTCAGTTTGCAGGTGCCTGCTCTGCCTTTGGGGCGGAGGGCAGGAGGGTGTCAGAAGAGAGTGCTTAAGAGAGTCTAAGGAATCTTGAAAAGGACTGAATAGGCCGGGAGGCCTCGGGTTTACCTGGCGCACCCCTGTAACTCCATTCCTCTCAGGCTCGCCACTTTGGCTTCTGAATCAAGGACATCTTCATCCACGTCTTCCTCATCCTCCCCGTCACCGTCGTCCTCGTCAAATAGGAAGCTCTGGTGGCCAAGGGGAGACAACAGCGACCTGGTGGAATTGCTGCTGCTCAGCGGCGGCGATGGCGAGCGCACCACTTCCAGCCCCTGCCCACGGGCGCCCGTCATAGAGACGGCGAAGGAGCCCGAGGAGGGCCGAGACCTGGGTCTGCAGTCAGCAGAGAAACCGCTGGAGGAAGGGCGAGAAGTAGGCCCCCAGCGCCCCGCGGCCCACATCTGGCCCGCCAAGTTTAAACTGGCGGAGCCGCGGCGGGGACGCGCTCTCCCAGCAGGCCCTGCGCGCGCCGGCCCGGCCAATCCCGGCCGCCACATACCCTGCGTTGCCATGGCGACGCGTGGAGGCCGAGAGGGCTTTGTTTGGGCCTGCAGAGCTTGGCTTCCTCCGCTCCGGCCTCCCTTGGCCAGCCTTCCTCCTCAGTGGCAGGAAGGTGCCTGCTGTTTGCAGGCTTGTTTAGCACGGTGCCTCCCCACGCCACTGGCGGGGTCCTGGCTCCCTACCGACAACTTTGAGGGCCTGTCCCTTGTTTGCCGTGGTGTTGTAGTTCATTGGCTACATAAAGTATGTTACTTGTCACTGAATAAGGGAAAAAAGAAGCAGAAGCCAAAACTACACCCTATATAATAACAGGGTCAGAATTATGAGCATCGGTCGTGATTTCTTTCAGCACAGCAGATATATTTTGAGGAGAGGGGAGCGAACTTGATCCAAGTTTACCGGTGTACCCCAGAACTCACTGTTAGGGCAGTCTTTGAGTGTTTTGGTAGCACTGCGTTTGCCTGGCATCCTAAGGGACCTAATTTGTCTCTACATGTGAATTTTTGGCCTCTTTGAAGCCTCTAGCGTATGCTAAGGTCTGCGTAAAGCACTAGGGATAGATGATTAAAAGTCTTGTCCTTAAGTTCCTCATCCTTTTGTGGTGAAAAAATCATCTGAGTAAATATGGTGATATGCATTTTATGTGGGATCTTAGGGGCACTCTCCTCTCTGGAATGGGGATAAAGGTAGTAAGGGAGAGGTCGATGCTTTATTCATGCTGACAAAACTGTGTACATTTGTAAATAAATAGGGCTTTTTTCCAGTTCATAATGTATATTACTGGTAGAAATGCCATAAATGAAAATTAACCATGGCTAACATAGCACACAAAATTTTTTAGTAACCAGAGTGATACAAAAACCTTTGATGAAATCTAGATCTGCAAAATTTAATACAAGAGAGCTAGCTCTGGTAGAAGTAATAGCAACCAAAGACAATTTAGAAGGCAGAGCTATAATTAATAAAATATGACATGGTTAAATCTATTTAAATGGAATATTTTGTTTAAAATTTCGGTGAAAACAAAATGAAAATGAAAGAAAATTGGAGCACTCCAACTGAGTAATAAAATTGATCAAGGAATAAAACTGACCTAGGAATAAAATTGACCTAATGGAGTTTTCGTTCTCAACCCTAGTTATTCAATATTGCCATATCTGGTTAAAACCTTCTATTGGAACATCTCTAGAATCAATAACATTGAAAGGCCCTGGTCTTCTCAAGCATAAACAGGTATGCTTGAGAAGCTATTTTCCCATATATATATAACCAGACATAACTGTAGTGGGAAAACACTAGTATGAAAGGGACCTGGAATCAGTGGTTTTCCTGGTGCTTGATAGGTTTTCCAATCCTAACTTACTCCTCTGAAAATGGGGGAAAAAATTACTTCATAGGGTCGTATTATCTCATTAATTCTCAAAGTTTCTAAGCTCAGGATCTGACAGATACAATGAAAAATTGTGTGTAAACTCCAGAACTTTACACTTTAACCTCTTTGTATGGGAATCTAAATGTCATATACTTCTTTGTCACCTTAAAATGTTTTCCTTAACAAAGTATACCCTTTTCTTGATGCGCCAGGGTCATCATTATGACCAACTGTGACATTATGCACTAGCAATGCTGGACCCCCAAGGCTGTGAGGCAGAATCAGATGGTGCTGATGCTGGTGTTTGAACATAATTGAGTCCAGCGGTCTCATTTCTTACACTGCCTTTTCATTACTGGAGCTGAGGAGTCATAATAAAGATGGGTAGAATTATATTAAATGTACAAATGTATAAAAGAGTGTCTCTCCCCTAAAGTTTTAGGATATTGACTGAGTGACATATTTTCATACAGTTAATACTTTGACTTTCATGGAATATTTGAGATATTTATGTTTCACTGGCTCTGGAAACTTGTATAAGAGTGATTTTTGCTTAAATAATTCCATCACCAGTTAGCCCTATGGCAATATATTATGCAACTTTAAAAATTTATCCCTAGACATTAGTATTTACAGATGAAACAATATGATGTCTTGAATATGCTTCAAAATAATTCAAGGGGTGGAGGGATTGGAAGAGGTTAGTGAATGCGATGAAGATGAAACAAGGTTCACTACCTGCTGCAGATAATTGTCAAAGCAGCGATAGGTATGGGATGAAGGGTAGGGAGGTGGGATAATTATACTATTCTACTTTTGTTATGGAAATTTCAAGCATATGTAAAGTTTAGTACAAACACACACACAAAATTATGTCTAGAATGAAGAGGCATTGGGTTCTGGTTTGAGTTCTAATTTGCTGTGACTCAGGAATTCACTTAAATTTCATTAAACCTTTTGTTTTTTCATCTGTAAAATGAGGATTAATGATTGTACATACTGAAGTATTTCTAAGCATCTGGGCAATTACCTGCATTTAATATAATCCAGATTTTTTAATAATTTGCTTTTTAGATAGAGATTGAATCAATGGTTTTTCTGAAATTTCATAATCTGTTTTCCACAAGTATGGTTCAGACTCAGGATAAAACCTTATTTATAAATTTCAGCAAAATGTTCTTATATATTTATAAACAAATATCAAAATAGTGTTTTCTAGTGGTTACTTTCAACATTTCTTCTAATACTGTCCACTTAAAAATATTTAATTTGCTTACTTTAAAACTAAATTCATTAATATACCTACTTTTAAATTAAGGCAAAATAGATTGCTTTCTAGAAACTTTAATATTTCAAAACACTGAGTACAATATTGTATTTCATACCATATATAGCACAAAGATTAACACATTTTATGTATCTGTTATTCTAGTTTTAAAATGAATAAAATGAAAAATTTTCAATAATTTGAATTGTGGGAAAAAAACCTTTTAATTAGGAGTTTCTTACCATGTTATGATTTAACATTTATCAGATGTGTAAATATACAAATATGATAGCAATTTTTAAAACTCGTAAATAGTTGGCCTTACAAAATTACAACACACTGTATATAAATCCTTCCCACATTTTATACAAACTACATGATTTTGATATACAAAGATTCTGTTTTTATTACACTGACAATGTACAACAAAGACTATTTACAATGCAAAAAGTATATAAACCACAATTTAACATTCTGCTACTGGCAGCCACTATAGTTTAGGAGGTAGCTTTAAACGAAATGAACAGAAGCCACATTTCCCAACTTGTGTTCTAAAAATAATTTACATAAGATAAAAATTCATTATATGCACAGTATGTACAGTTTAATTATTAAACTGCAATCTAGCTGAATTTTTTTAGTATATTCAGAATAACTAATATGGCAGTGGGTTTGCTATTGATTTAGCACATTGTTCAAAAAACATATTGAACAATTATAACCTTAAGACTCCACACAGTAATAGGTCTAAAGACCATACATGAGAATCAAGTAAAATTTTTAATTTTTAAAGACACAGGACTAAGCTTTAATTCCTTCTTCTTATATTTTTATTAATAACATATTATCTTGTTTAACCAGAGTTCAACCTCTGAACTACTGAATAGGCTTTTTGTAAAAAAAATAGTATGGGGAAGATATATGGAAGTTTCCATTTAATAGCATAGGTTCAAGAGAATCCAGCTCAATAAGAAATAAACATAAGTACTTTGTGTCATACTTACTCCCCATTTCTTCCAATTAAATGCAAGTATTGACCACAGTTTACTTTCTATATAATCCAAATTATTACTAGGTGACAAACCAACAAATTGGAAAATATCAGTAGAGCCAATGATATTAGGAAGTGTTTATTAATGAAAACATTACATGGAGCCACCAATCCCTCAGATACTATTAAACCCCCACATTAGTTAGTAGTTTAGCCAAATCTATTAAACTCACACAGCAATTAGCCTTTTACTTTTTTTCTAGTAGTATAATCACAAAACACTGAAGAAAAAATTACTGATTGAACCAAAGCAATGTATAATGACTGAAAACAAATGTCCAGCTACTTTTTTTTAACCTAACAGCTGTTAATATTGTTTTAAAAACATCTTCAGGTTTTAGATTTATAAATCAACAAAGCAAAATTTATGATTCTCCTATGTTAAGATGGCAACTGAAAACATAGTAAGGTAATGCCTATGTATACTCTCACAGTTCTGGCTGGGACAGTCCCTTTTTTGGGCCTGCAGTAAGTTGTCCTAAGATTAATGATGAAACATTAGGTAAAATTAGCAAGACTTTTTCTTCAGTTATAGAAAATCACATTTTAAAATATATTTTTTAAAAATATTAACAGCTGTTCTTTATCTTGTGCTTAATTCATAAATAGGTATAAATTTGCTTTTTATAGATCAGAAAAACCTAACATTATATTGCTATACTACACCTCCGATCCTTTTCAAGTCATACATTTGTTTCAAACAGACCATACATTGCTTGGACATTGCATTTTTCACCAATTTATAATTTAGGCACCTGTCCTTTGAAAATGACTGATTTGAGAAATAAATTGCCACCTTCTCCTTCTTCTAAGTGACACCAGGCAGTGATTACAGAAGTGCTTCCCAGATGAAAGATTAGAATAGGGTTCACTCTATAAACACTGATTTTGGTTGACAGAGGAAACGGTTACATACACAGGAGTTCAGTCTTTAACTCTTGGTAGATTGTAAGCATAGCGCACCAAAGGGAATCCTCGACTCTGGTAGAAGCAGGCTCGTCCACAGGCCTGTACCTGGTCAGAACTGTCTGAGACAAAGGAATCTTCTTCATCTGCATAATCAGAGTGGGCTGACTGTGTGCCACAGTCAGACCAATAACCCTCAGGTCTTTGGCAAGAAGCCACTGCCAATGCTGGACAGCTGTGTGATTTTATCAAATGTTTGCATGATACTGGCTTTGTTAAAAGAAACGATTCGCAGCAGTCACAAATAGTCAGGTTTCCCTGCAAGTGTGAGTACATGCCACAATCGTAGTAGAAATCCTGTTCCAGACAACCACCTTGGCTACTGATGGAAACTGAAACTGATCCACTTTTCTTGGTAACACGTCGCTTCAGTAACTTCCAGTCTTCTTTAAACTTTGGGTTGAAGAAAACATACAGGACTGGATTCAGGCAAGCAGGCAATGGAAAAAATATCAGAGTAACAGACTTCATTATTTCAGGGCTGATAGAGATTGCAGTGATCAATGGTGCAAATGAGAAAAATGCAACAGGGCAGAAAAAGATGCAATTGGTGAAGATTAGCCAAGCGACATGCTTAATCATGCTAGATTCTGAGTTTTCTGAGAGGTCCTCTTTTTCCAAGTTGCAGTACAGCTTAGTGTACATAATGGCCATTAATAAAAATGCTAGTGAGTTTAACAGTACTAAGGTTACAGTGAATCCTAATGATGGTGTTTCTCCTGTAGGAAATGGCAAGCAAAGGGGTGATGCAGAATATTCCCCTCTATGGAAAAGGTGAAAACAGCCTGCTATTGTAGCACCTAGGAAAGCCAAAAGGGCAGCAACCCGGAACTGTTTGAGATGATTGCTTTTCCCATTTTTCATTACATCTTTTGCAGATAAGCTTCTTTCGACAGTTGCTAGCATTAATAAAAATATGGCACTTTCTGAGGAGAAAACTGCAAGAAACCCAGCTACTTCGCAGCCACTGCCAGTTTCCCACCAAATGCCAAATTCAGCGAATCTGCCCCAGGACACAGCATCAAGAAAAGTTAGGATGCCCGTATAGATTCCCATGAATAAGTTAGACACAGAAATCAAGCCTATAAACAATTTGGATGAAGGCAGTGATGTACAAGATGCAAATGTTGTTAAAATGACAAGCAGGTTGAAAAATAATGCAACCAAGAAAATGAACCACACAGTAAGACGAATCATCCAGCTTCCCAGTAAATATTCACAGGGCTTAAAAGCACCTAAAACAAAACAGAGAGAGAGAGAGAGAAATAAAAGATAACTTAGAAAATAATTTAGAAAATGATATGGCTTGCTAGAAAAACTAATGATATAGACTAATTAAATATGTTCTCTATTTGAATTGAACAAAACTGAAATGGTTACTGCTTCTAAGATATTTTAGTCATGGACTAGGCTATTTAAAAAAAATAAACGGACTTTGATTTCTTTTATTAAATATTTGATAAGGCTATAAAATATTTCTTTTATTAAATATTTGATAAAGAGTGACATTTAGATGAAAATTTTCATTTTTTTCTTACACCTAAGCTAATTTACATAGCACAATGTTTAGGGCATAAGAGGTATTTGATAAACTGAGGGTCTGGAATGAGATGGTTGTAACTTGCTATTCTTACCTTGAGAAAGCAACTTAAAATTGTATAAATTTTAACCTGTATTTATTTTCTCGCTTGTGGGTAATAATGCCTATTTCATACGGTTGTGCAGCTTAACTGAAATTATACACATAAGGAACTAAGCAGGCTGCTGGATATATAGTTAGACTTCAATAATTATTAGCTCCCTTTTCTTCCTTTCTAGCCCCAATATACTTTATAATTATGTATGTATATGTTTGTATGTACACATATTTTTTATACATTTTCTTGTGGATTTCAAAAGCAACCTGATAAAGCAGGTTAAGATAGGTGTAATTACCCCCACTTCATCCAGAGAAACTGATTATTTCAAAGCATTTGATTGACCTGACAAAGGCCATTCAGTGAGATAATGTAGCTAGGAGTACACCTCAGTGATGTTAACTATTCGTACAAAGCTACATACAATAAAATTCTGCATAATACAAACTAGCATTGCAAGAACGCATTCAGTTGCTGAACTGTATGTTCCAGTAACTAGTTGACATGCTAGTTTTGACAAAAATTACAACTCTTTTATTGAAAAATTAGAAAGGAAAAACAAGATTCTGACTATGAAACACAAGAAAACTATGTATTACAATTACCTAAAAAACATGTTTTATGAACTGTCATGAAAATGATATATCCAATAAAACATTTTCAATTGTTGAGATATTCACAGACCTAAAAAGCCAGTTCTGCACCATTTATCTGTCTTCCAATTATCGCAAGAAACTCTTATTTAAATTTCCTTTTAACTCCCCCTTCAGGAAGTGCTAAGAGAAAGTTCATTATCACCTTTAACTCTGTTATCTAAACTCATCCTTCATGGAAGAAGGGGTAGCTCATCGACCTGAGAGAAGAGAACACCTTTTGAGAACCCTTTTATGGGTGAGAAAAGTTACTTTTCCAAAAAAACCTTGGAAGCAGCCTCAATCCAGTCCCTGTCTTTGGAAGCCTGTGGCATCCTCTGGTGCTAACAGGAGGATCCTAGCTTTCCTCTACTTCCTGCTTCTGCAGCAAGCACATCCGTGTCTCTGTGTTACTACAACTGAGTAGGGGGAGGCAGGCCTGCAGAGTTCATCCCCACAGCAGCCCAAAGGGATGAGCTCAGACCAGCTTTCCTCCTGGCCAATCTCCAAGTTTAGGTTCGGGGTGGAAAAAATGGAAATGCTGCACATTCAAGTCCAGCTTCCTCTTTAAAAACCTGTTCCCTTCTCATTGGATCATCAGTTCTTTATGTACATTCTCTTTATGCACATGAACTCCAGTGGGACAAGTGAGTGAGCTGTACCTCAATCTTTACAAATTAATATAGACGCTAACACACAATAAAATAAATTACATAAACTTAGATGATTCTTGCCAATCACATTCACTTATCTGGTAACTTAGAGCTTATTCTCTACACAAGAAAGTATTCATAGAAAACATAGGCAGACCCTTAAGCTCACAATTCAGCAGCAATCACTAGTGAATCCATAATACTTATAATTCTGAGTTATAAAATTAATGTCCAGATTCTCCTGTGATATTACATTAACAAAGGAATCTACTTTGTGTACACAATTTAACTAAAACATTTAAGCCTTTCTTTTACACTACAATTATAAATACATCTTCTCTGGTAGATTGGGCAGACTATGACAATCATGACCAAGTATGTGGTGTCAACTTAATAAATTTCCCAAGACTACAAAGTCAATGAAGTAAGTGAGGAGAAAAAAGGAGGGCAAGGCTACATTAAACACACAGAGACACACAGACACACACACACACACACACACACACACACACACACACACACACACAGAATCTTTACATACTACTAACTTATAGAACTAGTCCCAGAGTTAGAGGAGCATTAAGAAAGTGCTTCCAAAATTCTAACGTGTATAACTCTCACCTCGGGGAGCTTGTTAACATGCAGATTCTGATTCAGTAGGTCTGGGCCTGAGATTCTGCAAAACATTCCTAAGCTGCTGGTTGTTATACAAAGCACAAATCAGAAGGCCTCACAAGAACCTCTAGTACCATCCCTATTACAGAAACCACATCTATACCCAGGAGATTTAGATATATTTGCCTAATGTTTGTTTAACATGAGTAACGGTGGCAAAATAGGCTGGGCATACCTGTTGAAGGTGTACAGTGGATAATTATTTGACTATGTTCTTCATTTTCAACAGTGCTTGTGACATTTGCTGCATCAGCAGTACCTGAACATATAACACAAAGTATGTTTAATTAAAACCTTATACAACTCAAAAGAACCATATTTTCCTGCAATTTTCTCTGTATATAAGTTCTCCTTATAGAAGGCTCCATAACACATTAAGGATGCTGATAGCATAGTGAATGCCATTGTTTCTTTTGGGTTTGGGTTTTTCTTAGAGACAAGTTCTTGCTCTATTGCACAGTCTGAAATGCAGTGGCACAATCATAGCTCACTGCAACCTCGAACTCCTAGGCTCAGCTCAAGGGATTCTCCACCTCAGCCTCCCAAGTAGTGGGGAATATAGGCACATGCCACTAAATTCGACTAGTTTTAAAATTTAGCACAGAGACAGAGTCTCACTTTGTTCCCCAGGCTGATCTTGAACTCTTGGGCTTTAATGACTCTCCCACCTTGGCCTCCCTAAGTGCTGAGATGACAGGCATAAGCTACCACACCTGGCCAGAGAATGTCATTTTTCTCACAGATTTCCTATTATTCCTTCACAAAGTGATTATAATAACAGAAACTTTAATCAATGCCTTAAAGGAGTGTTCTATTTTCTAAAACTCATGCACTTGCCTTTCTCCTGTGCCACACTGTGGTCCTGGAGGTTTTTATCTTCTGTGTTTAAATTTGCATAAGAGTCACAACCCCAAAATGCACAGCACTGATAAGCATATGGTACTGATAAAGACCTGGAAAAAAGTTGTAAAATCTACATTGAATAGCAACTTCACAGATATGGTTTTGTTTTATAAAAGTATTTTAAACTTGAAAACCCCAGCCTACGAATCAGAAAGATCTGTCATGTGCTTTAGGCTGGTCATTCATCCTCTCTGGGCCTCAGTTTCCTTACCTGTGACAACAGCTGTGGTATCAGATGACACCAAGGCTTTCTCCCTTTCTGTAAGATCTCTCTTAACAGTCAGATATAAATCAAACTATGCTTAAAATTTAACAGCAGTACTGTAATTTAAAGTAATATCTATGACTCCTTTTATAAATGTATTCACTATGCTCAATTTATCATATGAAACTGATAGTTTCACTTAAAATTAATGCCCCAGGTCATTTGTGACTTTATACCATTAAATAAATTTACTTTGTTTAAATAAATGCAATGAAAATATTTATTCTCTTCTTCAACAATAGTATTCTCTCTCTTTTGTCAGAGACAGGGTCTTGCTCTGTCACTCACGCTACAGTGTAATGGTGCAATCACAGCTCACTGTAGCCTAGAACTCCCAGGCTCAAGTGATCCATTTCAGCCTCCCGAGTAGCTGGGACTACAGGCACGTGCCACCACATCCAGCTAATTTTTGTATTTTTTGTAGGTTGTCTGGGCTGAATTCCTGGTGTCAAGTGATCCGCCCACCTTGGCCTTCCCCAAAGTGCTGGGATTACAGGCGTGCACCACTGTGCTTGGCCTCATAACAATATTCTCAAGCACTCTCTCTACTGTATTTTCTGCAGTCCCTCATACCTCTAAAATCTTCATGAAGTATTGTAGCATTGTATCAGTTTTCTGCAGGTTCACATTTACATGGTTTCTGCTATCTTATTGCTAATGAAAAGTCCACTGTATTAAAAAAAACATTCTGATGAATAGCTGTATTATCTCTTTGAGGACATCAAGGGCTCCAGTTCACAGTCTTAAAACCTATGGAATAATGTTTATGTTCTATTTTTTACCAAATTTACAATGATGGAGGTAGAAAATACCCTTAAATTATAGCCTATCAGAAAATCTGAGAACCACAGCAAAAAACCAGGACACTCTATAATTTTGGAGCCTACCATAACTTCAAAAAAAAAAGAAAAATAAGCAAAAACACACCTGAGGTTAACAAAGTCTTTTGCTGCTAAAGCTTCTTTCAGCTTGAAGTTCCCCACAAGTTTCAGTTGATTTAGCCCATTCAGGCCTTCCGTAGGAAAGGAAGTTAATTCATTGAAACTTACATCTCTAAAATATGAATGAGACTTTATGTTAATGCCCAAGATGTAAATAACATAAAAACATCTGTACATGTATTCACAGCATAAATATTAGATCCCTAATATGAAGTTCAAGTAGGGATGCCAAAATGATAGGTCTAGCATGTATCTTGCCATTTGAGAAGATTTTACTATAAATACAGCTTAGCATTTATGCAAGGGAACAACTAAACAGAAAAATACTTTGATTTGACAATGTTAAAACAGATGTTCCCATAGCACTAGTTTACTACCTTCATGACATTACTGCATAATCATCTACTTACAGATTAGTTATTGGCCCAAGTGTGGCAAAAGCTCTACTGTGAATTTCGTGGATCAGGTTTCTACTCAGATCTCTGCAATTATAAAAGTAACATGTTAATCTTTCAAATAAATACTCAAAATGCCACTTACTTAGACTATACTTTAAAATTAGAGGTAGTAACACAATATTGCTGATAAGATAACGAAGCTCTTCAATCTCACCCAGCAACATTTTTTCCTGTTTATGTTGAATGCCTCTCCTTCACAACAGTCTATTTCTTGGAATATGTTCCATATAGCAGTAATTCTAGCTGGCATCTGTTTCAAAACAGTTGTGAATTTTCCCACTTTATCTTTCTGATATCAATTCAAAAATATAAATGATATAACCTTTGGTACTGCTAACTCAGTAAGGAAAAGCCCAGTTTCTGAAAAAGCTGAAAATAAAAACAGACTTTACATTATTTGCCTTCTCAAAGGTTAGTGATAAGGTCCCAAGAGAAGACAAACAGTCAATATGCAAACAAGAGCATTCCAGGAGGGCTGGAGATACCCTTCTTTTCCTAAGCAGGAAATTGCATCAACAGTAGGGCCAGCTGTGTATTTAGGAACATACCCTGAGAAATTCTGATATTATACAATTAATAAAACGGAAATAATCTACAAACACAATTACACAGAACCTTAAAGGAAATATAAAGATTGAAAAAATTTACTCTGAGACACATCTCTTAGATAACAAAGAAATTCAATACACTTGGTTCCAAATCATGAAAAGACCAGCTTCTTATTGTCACTTATCAGTATTCTAAAAGTGATGGCAACTAGGAGCCAGTCTTCTTCCCTATGACTGCATAGGTTCACAGAAAGTTAGTCTACAACCTAAGATGATTTAGCAATCCAACTACCAATTAAATATTTTCTAATAGAGTGCACATTGTATCTCTTAAAAGGGATATTCAATATATGTAATTTTACTTCACTGTCAATTTTTTAAACTTTTTCTGTAACAGAAAAATGTTGTTCTGGGCAAGGTAGCTCACACCTATAATCTAAACACTTTGGGAGGCCAAGGTGGATCACTTGAGGCCAGGAGTTTGAGACAAGCCTGGGCAACATAGGGAGACCTCATCTCTACAAAAAAAAAAAAAAAAATTAGCTGAGCATTGTGGTGTGCACCTGTAGTCCCCCGACTACTCAGGAGGCTGAGGTGGGAGGATAGCTTGAGCTCAGGAGTTGAAGGCTGCAGTGAGCTGTCATTGCACCACTGCATTCCAGCTTGAGTGACAGAGTGAGAGACCGTGTCTCAAAAAATAGAAAAAAACGTTCACTAATTTAGTGTACTGTGTTTTCTGTGCAAAAGTTCTAGGAATAGTGACTGACAAGGTTTCTCTCAGTCAGCTCTATATTCCCAAGTGCTTTTGAGAGTTCCTAGAACAAATATGTAGTCAAATTCAAATGATTTTTTAAATAAGTACTTCTGTGGTTTATGAGCTCTATTTGTCATGATAGATACTCCAGCGCACAGGTCAGCAAACTTCTTCTGTAGAGGGCCAGATAGCAAATACTTTCGCCTTTGTGGGTCACATGCTCTCTGCTGTAAGTACTCAATTCTGCTATAGTGGGGTAAGAGCAACTTTAGACAGCACTTCAACAAAAGACCTGGCAGTGTTCAATTAAACTTAATTGATAAACCAGGAAGCGAGCTGGATTTTGCCCGTGGGCTATGGTCTGCTTACCCTTGCCCTAATGAATTGGCACACCTCACTATTATAACTTGAAAACAAACAAGCTACATCACTTCAGTTATACACATTAGACATTTTTCTATTTGCCAATGAAAATAGCTAAACAATTAGCTAAAATAAAAAATATTGAAAGTAGATTATAAAGTTTCAAGTCTAAAAATCTTGCAAAGTCTAAAATAATATTTTAGGTAAAGTCTAAAAATAATGTTTAACTGAACACAAATTATATCTTTTTTTGTTTTGTTTTTTTGAGACAGAGTTTCACTCTTGTTGTCCTACTGGAGTGCAATGGCACAATCTCTGCTCACTGCAACCTCCGCCTCCTGGGTTCAAGTGATTCTCCTGCCTCGGCTTCCCAAGTAGCTGGGATTACAGGCATGCACCTCCATGCCTGGCTAATTTTTTGTATTTAGTAGAGACAGGGTTTCACCATGCTGGTCAGGCTAAAATTTAAAATTATGTCTTTAAGTATATCTAGTAACACAGTAACAGAAATCATAACTATATATTAATTTAGTTTGGAAAAAATTTATTGCCTTTAATAATCATAGACAAACTTACAAAATCCTTAGAGATAACAGGCCTTGAAAGGTGCCTTCCTTTATTTGGTAGATCTGATTACGCTGTAAAGAACTAAAGAAAAAAAGAAAAAGAAGAAAGAAGATGAAGACCAAGACAGGCGAAGAAGGAGGAGGAGGACAGAGGAAAAATAAAGAGAAAGAGATACAGAGAAGGAAAAAAGTTACTTTCTATTTTGAAAAATAGCATTATAACATTTCTTATTTGAATTTTTCTAAGTTTTAATAACTATTAACTATTCTTATGTAACAGTAATCTTGTTGAAAGAGAACTGCCCTTTTCTCATTTATGAAATGAGTTAGATTAATTGGTATTACATCCCATATTATACTGGGAATTAACTGATATGCTATCTAAATTGCCTATCAACCCCACTCAGGCATAAGAGATGGAAGATGATGCAGGGAGAAAAGAAACCAAAACAACACAACCATTACAAATACCACAGGAATAAAGTTACAGGACTAAACAGATTTAAAATGGGAGAATTAATGCCTCCCTCTCCCCGTCTCCCAGCCAGTTTCCACCAGAGCTGTCCAGCATAGGACATGATGGCTACTGGCATTCATGTCTGATTTCCCTCAATAGCTGGACAAGTTTTTCTTTTCCATTTCTTTTAAATATACACCAACTTCACCTGTATGGTGTTTCATGGGATGCCTGATACATAATACATGCTGGTTGCATGAACACATCTAGTTCAATTTGATATTTTATTCATGGGAACATCTGATTATCAGAATTTCTAATTTCTTACTATTAAGTCCATCTATTAAAAATAGAAAATGCTCAACAAACTAACAATATACCACAGCAAAAAGAGTAAGTCAAAGACCAACTCACATTTCTTCCAGAGCATGGCAACCATTAAAACTTGGAAGGTCTCTTATATTGTTGTAAGACAAGTCCCTTAAAACAATGGAAATTAACAAATTAATGCTATGTTATCAGAATACTATATTAGAAGAGTGGTACTCAGAAGCATTGAAAGCAGAGCTAAGATCTGTAATAAAGAGATATGCCTGAATAAGAAAAGCAATTATTTTTTTCCTAAGACTTGTAAGCTTCTCGAATACCTCAGTGATACAATAAGCCTAAGATTTATAAAGTTCAAGTATATATTGTTGAACAGACACTATAAAATATGTAAAAATACATTTATATAAAGTATATATGTAAAGTAAAAACATAAATATGTAAACTTAAATATATAAAATTTGTTTTAATGGTAAAACTAGTTTTTTTTTAAATTTGTATTTTTTCAATACTGTTTATGCCATAAACAACTTATTATATTCTTTTACTGAAAAGCTCTAAAAGAAATGGTATGCTTATCAACATTTTAAAAAACATTTATGTTACATCAAACACCAGAACTAGTTAACTCTCAGTCCCACTGCAGTTTTTTCTCAAGTTGTCATTGTGTTTAAGTCTGATACGCCACTATATCATTAAATTATAGTCATGATCCAAGTAACAGTTTTGGTCAATGACAGACACCATATACAATGATATGGTCCCATAAGAGTATAACACTGTTAATCTGCTCCAACTTTTTTACATTTAGATAAACAAATACTTACCATTGTGTTACAATTACCTATAGTATTCAGTACACTATCATGTTGTACAGGTTTGTAGGCTAGGAGCAACAGATAATATCATATAGCCTAGAAGAAACCACCGAAGCGCCCCCGACACATTTCTTAGAATGTATTCCCATTGTTAAGTGGATGTATGACTTTACTTGCTTAATCAATCAGTCATTTATTTTGTTACTATCTCCCTCCACTGAATACTTATTAACAACTTAATAACTTAATTGTTTATTCTGGTGACATTTTTACATCCTTTATTTACTTTTAGTTTCTAGGTCAGCCTAAAGTTTTTAGAAAGCTACATGCTTTAGTTCATCACCAATTGAATAAAGATTTAGGTTGCTGATGAAAGAGAGGAGAATATAAGGAGATAGACCCCTGAAGAAACTAGAATAAAGACAAAGACTCAGATGAGAAAAAATTAAGAAAGAACCTGGCTTGGTTTTACTTTGCTCAGAATAAAGTCACAAGTATATGATATATTCCTAACCCTAAAACCTAATTCAAATGCACATTACCCACCCTGGAGACAACTCAAACATCTGCTCCTTAACAGGAAGGGAACAACTAAGAAGTAATTATACCTCAAAACCACCTTATGAAAGTAGATCCTTAAAAATAAAACTGGACCTATATAAATATATAAACAAAAGGTATGAGGAAAAGGGAAGAAGAATCCAACTTACAAAGTCCTAAGCATCTTTTGTTCTTGACACAAATTATTAGGTATGCTGTTTATCTTTGTACCTGTTAAAGTCCTGCAGAAAAACATTATTCATATAAGAAATAATTCAACTCAAGACAGTAAGCAAAATGTATTCCCATATGGAAAAATTATAGAAAAATAAGTGCTCATATATTTACACATGGACTAGATTCTATACATCCCATGGCCTAATTATTCCTTAAAGTTAGGCAGCAGGAAAGTGAACTGATCCCCAATTCTGATATCATCTTCACAGTCAAAAACACATGTGACATGAGATGTTGATATTGTCCAGATGGGCTTGATTTCCCACATGGACCAAGAGGAAAACACTAATCCACAGTCACACAGTCTGGTCACAGTTAATTGCAAGTTGTCACTTTCTTATACCCAAGACATTTGAAACCAACTTGCATCCTGCCCCGGAACCTTGTTTCTGTCTTTTCTTTCAGTTAACTGGCTCAGCATTCGGAAATGTTCTCTTATTCCCCTCCCTTTCTATGCTCCCTTCTATTGTCTATCACCAGTTCCTGTTATTTCTTCCTCTGTTTTGTTTCTAGCATCTAATTCTTTCAGAGAAAGAGTGAAATGAGGCAGAGAGGGGTGGATGAATCTCAAACAGACCATGCTATTTGTCCTGGTACAAATCCAGTGATGGATTAAAGACCTGGAGCTCTCATAATTAAGTGTGTTCACCCGGTCAGGTGGATTATTCCCACGGCTGCCTCACTGTTCTTACACTCCTTCCCTTCCCATCTCTAGTCTCTGTCTCCTTACCCACCTCACATTACCTGCTCAAACATTCTCAACACCACCAGCTGCCTTAAGAGCCAAGTTTAAACTCCTTACCTCAGTGCTTTCCAAGTTCTTTTTTTTTAAAAAAATTCTTGTCACATGTGACCATTGTAACAGTTAAATGGCGTGCTGCAGTAAGACTCCTGTGGCTAGAGGCTCTAGCTGCCTCAGGCCCCACCTGGCTGTCTGGAGGGCTGAGGTCATCAAGATCTTAAGTGCACCTATAAACCCATGCACAGACCACTCACTGGGAAACTGCCATAACCAAATGTCCAATGTCCAATGTTCAAGGCTTGTCATTCTAAAATCTAATCCCAAACAATTCTCCGATTTCTCCATGCCACCCCCATCCTATTATAAACATGCAATTCTAGCTATATTTGCTCATCTATATGCCATCTCTGAGAATACATTTGGTATTTCCAGTTTTACTAATCCTGCCTTAAATAAAAGACCCAGCTCTGGAAAACCTGACAGTATTCAAACATTCCATCTCCTCCGGGAAGCCTTCTGTGATAATCTATATCGATTGCTCCCACTTCTAAATTCTGAAAACACTGCTTCTAATTTGGCACTTCGTTATTGCCTTGTATTTTCTGTAAACTTTTCAGATCGTATCTACATAATCGGCTCTACTCTGCCTAAGCTTACTGACCCCAAACTCAACATATTCTTCTCCACGCATGATATGTGCAAAGGGAAACTGGAGGAATCAGCATAAACCCATCATTGTCCCTAAAAGACCCTGGCACCCTGCTGACTGTCCAGCAGTGTTATCTTTATACAACCCCTCTTCAAAAGGCCACACTTACAGACTTTCCAGGTGGACAGTTCCAGTAAGATTGGGGAACTGCTGCACCATGCTTGCGCCACGAATGACTCTTTAAGAAATTGAGAAAGACAAAGTAATTTTTAATTTTTTTCATATTCCATCTTTTAAACAGTTTAAAATTACAGTGCAAGTAAAACTAAAAATAAAACTAGTTTCATCTCTTGAATGTTCTTGAATGTACCTTAAAGTGTGATAATTTGACTGTTGGCAAAAATAAGAACCATTAAAACTTATGCCCAAGGAGGAAAAAAATTTTAAAGATTTTGTTTTTTGGAGTTCCAGTAATAAATTCTTGTTTTCCATTAAAACAACTGTATAAATATTCAGGTTTATTTTTAAATTCATATACTTACAGGGAATGAAGATCAGATAAGTTGTGAAATGCAGAGTTCCCCACAAAAGATAGAGGATTATCATACAAATGTCTGTGAAAATACCCAAAAGAGCAAAATTTTCACATATTCACAAGCACTCTAATATTAAATCTATGTTCACAATATACACATAGCTAAAAGCCTGAATTTTCTTTATTTATCCAGATGTTTGGCAAGTTACAGACATAGCTTCACATAATTATACATTAAAAGAAACTTTCAGAAATACTTACATAGTTCTTAAGAGTGGATTACCATCAAATGCTCCATCAGGGATAACAGAAATAGAATTACTATGAAATCCTCTAGAAAGATAGGAGAAAAGTACTTTGAAATGCATTATCCTCTTCTGAAATAAAACTCAAGTAACTACTGCTATTTAGCATTCTATAAATTATAATGATAATGACTACATGAAAATTTTTAAACATAGGAAATCTAAAATTTTATCTTATCTTTTTCAGTATCATACCTAATTCTTTTTTAACCCACTGCTTAGCCTGGTATGTATCAGATCCCTCATATGCATTTATTTGTTGCTTCATCATAAAAAAAAGCTTTAGACCATGATAAACAGGTGTTCTAACCTCAAAATCTCTCTCACTGTAGCCTGTATTTAGTCTCTTGGCAATGCCTCTTAGAATGTTCACCATCAACTAGCTCACAGCACACAGTCCCTATTGTGCTGTATATAGTCACTATCTCTACCCATCCAACATGTTCCCTCAGGCTGGGCACAGTGGCTCACACCTATAATCCCAGCACTTTGAAGGGATCACTTGGGCCCAGGAGTTTGAGACCAGCCTGGGCAACATGATGAAACCCTATCTCTAGAAAAAAATTAAAAATCAGCTGAGTGTGGTGACACAGGCTTACAGTCCCAGCTACCCAGGAAGCTAAAGTGGGAGGGATGACCTAAGCCTGGGAGGTCAAGGTTGCAGTGAGTTGTGACCACACCACTGCATCATGGCAATCCAGCCTGGGCAACACAGTGAGACCCTGTCCCAAAACAGACAAACAAAAACAAAAATGCCCCCTCATTCCTTTGTTTAAATATTTTTATTCTTTCAAGTCTAGTCAAACTCCTTTCCTTTGGTGATGCTTTCTGCAGTGACTCCAAGCTTCAACTAGGTATTCTTCTGGAATGATTTATTTATCCTATCCATTCAGCATTGATTTCTACCTAGAAACAGCTACCTGTCTTAACATGGTCAGCTTCCCCAGTGTGACTAAGACTACAAGCTCCTTAAAGGCAGAAACTGTACATCAGGACTTTTTGTTTTACTAGCATTTAACCCCTTGCAGCAATCTATACTCAAAATCATCTGTGCCATCGAACACAATCTAATTTGTATGATTATTTGTGTGTTTGTGTGCATGTATTATGAGTATATGTAATGGAACAAGATGTTCTAAAATCTCATTGTTGGAACATTGAATGGTGAGTTTCAGGGATATGAAGGCATAAAGAGAATGAAGCAATACTCACAGCTCTTTTAAGCTAGGAAGGGCTTTAATAGCCTGAGGAAATTCCCCCAAGTTATTATAATTCAAGTCCCTAGAAAAAAATGGGTGAAAATATATCAAAATATTGAATAGTGGTTACAATTCATAAGGGATTTTGTTACAGATATATAGATATATATATTTAATTACATCCTCTGTATGGTAATCTTCCCTTATCAACCATATTGTCATTTAAAAGCCATGTAGGAGTTTAACTGAATTTACACCTTTTCTTACAATACTGAATAGAGAAAAATCATTTTTCTTCTGTGATGTTTTTAGGTCAACAAACTTACAAATTCAAAGAATTTTCAGAATCATGTATTTCTGATGCATTAAATACATAAATCATCTGAATAGTATTTCTCTGGAAATTCATCCTAGAATATAATTCATTGAATAGCCATTTGTAAATGACATAGCGTGAAACTGAGGTTTCCATTTGGAGTTCACAGTGGCTTCCTGAAATTCTGGTATAAGAGCAGCTGACCTCAGTTCCACAACAGCATGATGACCTGAGATAAGAATAATCAGAAGGACCAGGGTAGATTCACACAATTGTTGTCCTTCATGCAGGTTACAAATTACTGAGAATTTTATATTAGTTAGGAGAAAGCTAAGTCATAGTGATCTGTACTAAAAGCGTCTTAGTTTTGGGAGTGTTTAGAGTTTAATTTCTTTTAACATAAAGAGTACATTGGCATATGATTAGCATGATTGATTTCAGAATGAAAGTAAAATAAAATTATAAGCTCAGCTCCTTTGAGACATATTTTGTTTTCCTTTTCCTTTTTTTTTTAACATGGAAAATAAAATGGCAAATAAAATTTAACTCTGAAGAGGTTTAATTTTAACATAAATGAAATAGTGTACATGGCCCAGGATTAGGAAACCGATTCCTTTATAACACTAAAACTTACACACTTAGCAAAGGAGATCTGAGTTTGGAACTATCTTCTACAAGATCTTCTACTTTCAAATATCCATTGATGTTTCCTATCCTCTAATTTAGATAGGAAAGCGAATTAATAGAGTCCTAAAAGATTTTAAGTCTTCTCCTTAACTGACAGTTAACCAGAAAATTCAGTCAAATAAAATATTACAAACCCTGAGCATTCCAATCAGGCTTTACTCACCCATGTAACTGGGACCTTCTCTGAATCATTTACTCATCACAACAGCAAAAATTATGTATCTTTGAATAAAGGCAATAAAGGCAACTAATATAGGCTAAAACAACAAAAATAAAGACCCTTCTCTCAAATATACATAGCTGCACAATGATTTTACTTATATCGTGGTGCAATGTACAGTTGAAACAGCCAGAGGTCCCAAACACTTTAGCTAGTGGAAACAACAAAAGTATCATAGCAAAATATAAAATCTTCATTTGTTACATGTGAAATCAGATATAGTATTCAAACCCAGTGTTAACAATTAGTAAGGCAACTGAGGTCATGGAAAAAACAAAACTATGCAGAATTCATTTTAGAAGTTTATTAAGTCCCAAAACTGTCATGCATTTAACAAAACCAACATTTCTGAAAAGGTATAAATCTTTGTAGATTGAGCCGTTTTGAATGTGTATTGTTTGGGGGAAAATATGCAATTCACACTTTCCAATTTTTAGTGATGAGCTTAGATTAGTATTCATAATTGGGTCCTTTGCTAGCAAGAATTTAGTCAGTTATCAAAGTGAATTAATAAGGAGCTGAATTCAAGGCCAATACTTTTTTATTTTTCTGCAGTGAAGTACAAAATTGCACTTTAAATATTACAATGCAGTTGTTCAAAATATGAATATACTTACAATGTCTCCAGGTTATCTAGTCCATCAAAACAATGTTGACTCAGGCTTTTAATTTTATTGTTATGAAGATGCCTACGAGAAAAAAAAGCGTAATATGACATTTCCATCTCCCATTTGCAACTATTATCATTGTTTAATATGTCTAAATTGGTGTGTGAAGGAATGATATAGCTAAACATATCAACAGTTGACCATAGAAAACAAATAGTATTGGGTAATTATCTCTTGCTATGTACACTGCAAAGACTCGGTGAACATAGACTAACCCATGGAAAGAGAAAGTATCTGTAATGGAAGTAAGGTACAGACGTGGAAGGCTATTTAATATTTATTCATATCAAAACAAAGTTTTGATTGGCTCTTAATTATATGAAGCAAAATTTGATGAGCTCTCCTACTGAGGACATGAGGGTAATGGTGTGGAGGAAGTGTTTGGTTTACACCAGTGAGATCTCTAACAGATTTTAAAAGCAGTGCTACTTTGTTATGTCTTGGAAGATTAAAAACATAGTGTATCACATACTCTCTGAACAAGTGGAAAACATGAAATAACCCTGGGACTAACTTCTATGGACATCTCAAGGTGACTTCCCTTCTTTTAACATTGAATACACAGCTGAGACACAAGCAAAAGTTGTATGAATATGTGCTGAATGACCCAATTTCTTCTCATGTTCACAACTGGCCATTTATCTGAGGGATTCAACAATTATTATCAGCTATTAATTTTTTTAATTCTCCTATTCTGTTTAGTCTTGTACAAAAGCAGCTCCCTCAAGCACTAACTATTCAGGAGCATAATCAGCGGGTACTTTGATAATAATCTGTCAGAAGAACCCTGTTTTTGTATCCCAATTAATACAAATATATGGAGTTAAAAGGAATAAATACTTACAGAACTACCAGGCTTGAAAGGTTGGTAAATGCAAAGTCAGGTATGCTTGAGATCTTGTTGAGAGCCAGGGTCAGCGCCTGTAGGGTGGGCAGATTGCTGAGGGGGTGCACAGGCACCTCCGTCAAGCTGTTGTCATCCAGCCACAGATGCCGTAACTGAACAAGCCCTTCAAAACTGTCCTCGGGGACTGAGGTAATGTGGTTGGCATCTAAACGCCTGACAGAAACAGAAACAACCATGTTCAGTAACAAATTCTAGTGAAATGAGTCAGTCCAAGTCTCACAACTCTCAAAGCTTTCAAAACAAAAAGGACTTATAAAAATGACCATCTTTAATTTCACTGGAAGTCCTCATAAAATCTAATAACATTTTCATGACCAGTATATGAAAGTCAGTTCTTTCTCTTCCTTCATAAGAATGACATGTATCCAAATCTATATTCTTCAACTATCTTTGGCTAAGAAGTAACTTTATAGCAGAAAGATATATTTTTTTAAAAAACTCACAAAGTTCATATTGAAATTATGTTTCAGAGCATAATTATCAGACATACGTGGGAAAAAAAAAAGAAGAAACTAAACTGACCAAATAAGCTACTTTACTTCCAATGTTACATTATAACTAATATTAGACATTAAATTTCCTCGTTACTGATTCTGTACCAAAGGAAAATATTAGAAACTACTTAGAATTTGTTTATAACAACAAAGAATTTCAATAGATTTCAATCACCCTTATTACCTCTAGGCAAGTTAAAAATATAAGTGTCATGTACAGGCAAAGCAACTTTTTCCTATTCTCTTAGCAGTTAAGTGCTTTTGAAAAATTTGTGTGCCAAAATTAACAATTATTAAGAAAAGGTCAAATTGTCTGTTGGAAAAATTAAGCAGCTCCTTGAATCAATGTTACTGTGGCTTTAAAGCTTCTTCAATTTTTCCAAAAATTTTGGAATTAAGAACACCTTACTAATAGGATTACTCATACTTAAAGTTAAGTCCCCATATGAAAATCAGGAAACTAAGTCCTACGTATTATTGTTGGCATAACCAGATGTAATTGTTGGAATAATTGCTTTTCAACAATCTGGTATTAATATGATGAGGGACACTATGTGCCAGGCAAATCATAGCTTTCTCCTCACAAATCCCTTGTTGATGTATTTTCATCATTTATATTCATGCCTCACAGCCTTGGACCTCTTTGTGAAAATTACAGAACACAAAAAAAACTGATTAAAAATTCAAAATGACAGCATCTTTTTAAAGAAACAGTTTGACAACTTTCAAGTTCAGGAAATTCTGAGTTTTAGAGTGGTTTTTGTGCCTCCTGTTTCCTTACACTGTTCCAACTTCAGTTCCTGCCATAACTGTCCCTTTCCACCACAGTCAGGTTCTGGGCCCCTGGTCCCAATTAACTGCTCCCAGCCCCAGATGCATTTTCCTTCCTAGTGACACATCAGCAGGGGTTAAAGACCATTGGTCCTGGTGAATATCAGATGGAAGCTTTCTTTCTAATAGAGTCAAGATAACTGAAAGAACACTTAAAAAGGGAGAGCTTAGGACATTGAGCAGCTGCCTTAAGAATCTACCTAGAAACACATATTTTTAGACTTGTTCACTTTTGAGGCTTTCTAGAACTTACCCTGAGACAGGCAACTTTTACATAACAGACTGGCAAAGTCCTGGCTACAGAGCTATTTAGAGTATTTGCTTTAATGAGCAGATAGGAATGTGTTTAAACACATGCGCGCACGCGCGCACACACACATACACACACACGCACATACCCCTCATGGAACTTTTCCATTCTTAGGAAGGAAGAGACTTAAAACTATAATCATACAATTAAGCATATTATATAAATAAATAATGTAACTAAATTATACTTGTAGATAACTTAATTACCTGCAATTCATTCAACACATTTAAATTTAGCATCTTGTTAGGCAGAAAGGATAAACTAGTGAAAGGCAAGAGGCCTGTCCTTAGGAGACTGATATTCCAGTGGAGGAGGTGACATGCAAGTTGCAAAATGATAATGGAGTAGTTTAAAAGTACGTCTGGAGTAGATAAACAAGGCACTGAAATTAAAGACTGATGGACTCTGAGGAGGAGGGTAGCTACCCAAAATGCATTTGGTCAAGAAAAGTATTTTTAAGAAGGTGACATTTTTTTTTTCTGTCCTGCATTGCAGAGGTCAGATCCTTTTTTTTTAGGTTTTGGGGTACATGTGAAGAACAGGCAAGATTGTTGCATAGGTACACACATGGCAGTGTGATTTGCTGCCTTCCTGCCCATCACCTATATCTGGCATTTCTCCCCATGCTCTCTGTCCCTAACTCCCCACCCCCCGCTGTCCCTCCCCTATTTTCCCTTGACAGACCCCAGTGTGTGATGCTCCCCTCCCTGTGTCCATCGATGATAGACTGGACAGGGAAAATGCGGCACATATACACCATGGAATACTATGCAGCCATAAAAAACAATGAGTTCGTGTCCTTTGTAAGGACATGGATGAACCTGGAAACCATCATTCTCAGAAGGTGACATTTAAAGTGAGACCTAAAGAATAAACAAGAATGGGTTGAAACAGGAGCTGGGCAAGGAGTGTTTTAGGCAAAGAAAAGAGCCAGGGCAGAGACCCAGTAGTAGAAACCAACTTGGTATGATCCAACAACTCCCAGAAAACAAGAGTGATTAAAACACAGGAGGAGGGGAGTAGAGGGCCCAAGGAGACATAGCTGGGGATGTGAACAGGGTCCACATTCCATGAGTCTCTATAGGCCAGGTAAGGGGTTTGGGTTGCATTTTTGTTACAAATTGAAGTTCCTTAGTGTTACTGCAGTTGAAAAGTTTAAATTATTTATCATATTGATGACAATGTATATTCAGATTCAATAAAATAGTGTGCAATGCACCTCCAAATATCTACAATACCTCCATTGATAGAGAAAATACTATACGTAATAAGGAAAGTTGTCAGTACCTTTTTAATATAAATTCAGTACCTTATACAACCTTTGAACTCCTTTGAATGCTGTGTCATCAAGGAAAAAGAATGGCCTTAACTTATTGCTAGAAAATTAGGTGAGTTTTGAGCTAAGACAGTAATGAAACTCTTGTATATACAAAACGGCATTAAGTACAACAATAAAATAGCATAATACAACAATAAATGCATGGACACAATTTTCTCTGTACTAAAAATTTCCAAAAATTTTGAAGTCACACCTAAGTAGGGATTAAAGAACTATGGAAAAATGAAACTCTTAAATAAGAGGTTTAATGAGAAAAACGATTTGTGGTGACTGAAATGGTTACTCCTTATCCCTCAATTCACATGCGGGTGTGGTGAGGCACCCATAAAAGTGAAGAGTCTGTACTTATACTGAGATCAGTGCTTCAGAGCACTGTTTCAGTGTGGCTTTGTAGCAATGACCTATGCTATTCGTACTCCTCCTAACTAACAGATGAAGAAAATACTATAATTCTTTAAGTAAATGCTAAAAAGCATCGAATATCTCACAAAGTGGAAAGAGTATGAGGGTTTATTCAAGGTATTTTACTATTTAAACTCCATGTGGTAAGAGATAAACTACTGCTTTATTTAGGCACAGTTTTATTGTTAAACAGTGAATGACATATTTATCCACTCAATTTCTTTGTTATTTTTGTCTGGAAAACATGCTTCTATTCCCTATTCTCAAAAGCCTATTTTACAATTGACTGAGATTCATGTGTTTTTAAATTTCTTGTCTAAACAAACTACAGTAACAAAATAATATTAAATGCAGATATTTAACTGTTAAAAGTCTTTGTTATCAATAAACACCTGTGTAATCAAAAGATCTCCTTTCTCTCTGTTCTAACTTACCAATAATGTAAATGTTGTAAACATATTTTAAAACTGAGAAAAACTCAGGAAATTTAATCTTTGAGATCTTTTAATATTCAATAAAAATGTAATCTGATGTTAAAAAATTTATAGTGGAGATAATTATGACATGTCACTTTAATAGCCTGCTAAGGTAATGCTTTAGTCTTTTTAGCTTTATGGGAGGCAATTATGCAACCTTTTTATTAGTATCAACAATTGGCTTTCTGATTTTATAAGTCATTATCAAACATACCCTTGCATCAAACCACTTGTGGTCAATTTCAATCCCTAATGAACTTTGCTTCTTTTAAGCACTATTCAAAACCACAATGAAATCTTTCATGTAATTCAGATCTGAAGAACAGATTTTCAAAATGACTCAAGTGCTGATAAGACCGTTTTACACCATGACAAAACTTCAATTGTATCTAACTTCACCACTGCACCCACTCTGCTAACAAACGCATGAACATTTCCTTCTTAAATAAAACAGGCCTAACACATAGCAGCACCTTGTGTTTCTGCTATATATGAAAACATCCCAATGCCTTTTAAAAAAGTTTGTTTTACCTCCACTCTATATACTCATCCCAATTTTGGAGATAATGTAAGCAATTTGCTCCATGAATGATAAATAAGCACAGTATGCTTTTTTAAAACATGAGAGCGAAATCTACGATTTCTGTGAAAAACACCACTATAAATCATCGACATTACCAATAAATGTCTTGTGTACTTTAATGTACTTACTGTACATTAAAGTACATTTAAATTAAATGTACAAATTAAAATATTTGTATGTTTTCTGGGTAATTTTTCTGTTCTAAAGTTGCAAATGAGATTTTAGTCTTCTCTTTTTTAGCCTGTAAACTAGACAAAATAATTGAGTATTTTGACTATTAAATCTTGCAAAATGACAATTCAATATGAGGGTCTTGAAGTAAAATAAATTCTTAAGAAGCAAAAGAAAATAAGAATTATTTAAAATGCCTGTGAATTCAGGTCCAAGAGAGGTCAGATGACTCCCCCTGTGTACATCCATCTGAGGTGAGAGAGTGTATGAAGTCAGCCAAGTAACATTTCTATAAGGGAACTCATTCCCATTCCCATTGATGTAGTGTGTGTGTGTGTGTGTGTGTGTGTGTGTGTGTGTGTGTGTGTGTG